GTGAGCTCCTTGAGGTTATGAGTGTGTGTCCCAGCACCCAGCACAGCACCTGGCACGTAGTAGATGCTTAAGAATGACACTTAGCTGGAGCTTACCGTGTGCCAGATACTGTTCTAAGAGCTCTACAGATGTTAATTCATTTAATCCTCACAATAACCATGTGAAATAGGTCCTGTGATTATCTGCATTTCACAGATCAGGCACAGAGAGGTGAAGTGCCTTGCCCAAGGTAGAACAGCTAGTAAGAGGCGGAGGTGGGATTTGAACTGAGGCTCCAGTCATGCTCTCCCACTAGTCAAGGTGTATTTGTTAGATAGAATGAGCTCAGGGGGTGAGTGGACATCCCTGGGGTCACCAGTGAGTGAGGGCAGACCTGGGACCAGACTACCCAGGCCAGAACAGCTTTGGGGGCCTGAGGTCCTTTGGTCCCCACACTCTAGCAAGTGGTGGGTGATCATTCCAGGGTGAACTCTAGTTCTGCTCAGGGGTTCGCTGGTCCCTGGTGTCCTGTTGACCATAGACCAAAGCAGTCTCCTGGGAGGCTTCCCCAAAGCCTGGGAGAACCTACTTTTGCTTCCTTCAAGGTCATCCCAGATGGGGCAGCTTTAGCCAAAACTGGATGGTGTGAGCCTTGCGCAGGGTGAAAGAAGGCATGGGCGGGAAAGACCAGGCATGGACAGAGGGGGTCTGGGGGCGCGGGATGTGAGATGAAGTCCGGAGGGGCACCCTTGGCTTTTCCCACTTTGGATGGAGATGTGGTGGCCTGGAAAGTGGCTGGGGAGGCTCTGGGGTCAAAGCCAAAGGCATCTCATTGTGTGAGGGTGGGGGCTTCCAGTCTTATCGACCTGACCACCAAGGGCCATGGGCTGAGGGTGCAAAGGACAGAGGGGCACAGGCTGGGGGCAAAGAAGGGAGGTGAACGGAGCCGGTCACGTGGGGTGGTTGCTTTCCTAATGGGACAAAAGAGGCTGGAAGTCAACCTGGGAGAGCCCGACAGGAAACAGGAATGGGGGAGACAGACCAGCTGGGCCAAAGCAGATGCAACTGATGGGGAAGGGTTGGTCCCAGGTGGCTCAGGGGCACTTGAGTCAGGCAGGAACCTGAAGGTGCTCTTATCCCTCAGCCCAGAAGGGTAACCAGCAAGTTTACAGGTTATTTGTCCTCTGCTCTTCAGTCCAGAACACCGCTCGCTTGCTTGACTGATAGCGTCCCACCTGACCATGGGGAGGTGTCTTCATTAAAACCCCAGATTTTGTCTGGACTCCTTAGACTCAACAAAGCTCACTCGATCTTCTCTGGTTGTACATCTTACCCTCAAGATGCAACTAACATGTAGAGCTTTTTGCAGAAGGGCTTGGGGGGTGGGGTTCTCAGGCTTGGAGTGCCAGATAGAATGGTTTCTTCAATGGGAACGGATCATGCCCACGGACCCCGGAATAGATTGGAACCTACAACACCTAGAATTCTTCTGAGGTCCAAGAAGAAACCGTCTCTAGCAGATGCCATGGCATCCACAGGGCATGTGTCAGAGCATTTACTAGCACTGTTTAAGGAAATCAGTTGAGGTATTTTCTAAGTTTGATGTCCTGCCACTATTTCTTCAAAGAAAAAATGGTCCCAAAGTGCAACATAGAAAACAAATGAAAGGGAAACTGGGTCCTGGTATGTCTCTCGGTTGTCTTCCTAGGTCCTATGGGGGCCCCTGAGGCAGTGTGAGGGGGCCTTTTTGGAGAGCAGCCCTGGGCAGACCAGGGCCCAGTACGGCCTGAAGCTCCTGTGCGGTTGGCTGCCTTTCCTGACCATTAATCGCTACTAAGTGTCATTACTGCTAATAAAATTAACCGACTTTATACTGGACTCCTGGGGCCATCAATCACAGCGTCTATTACACGAAATTAAAAAAACAGTGGCCTGTTGATGGGAGGAAAATGTGTTTGCCGAGCCTGGCTCACAAGTGCAGCGTAGGGTGTGCTGGTACTCCACAGCTGTCAGAAGGTGGTGATCAGGGACGGCACCCTTAATTAGACAGACTGACTCTCAGCCTTGACATTGTTCTACAGATAGGAGTGTCTCAAGTAAGAACAGAGATGACCACAGGGAGACTCTGGGGCCAGGCGCTGAAAAGCTCCCCAAATTCTCCCTCCCGTTTTCACCTCTGTTCCTCTCTATGGCTTTGGTTCATTCTTTTTCTCTCTCTTTGGACCAGCTTTCTACCTCTTGAGTTACAAGCCCAAAGAAAGAGAAAACAACTGTATGCTCTCTTAAGTCGAAGAAAGAGAGAAAGCAAATGTATGCTCTCTTAAGTCAAATTCCAAATTCCCAGAGAAAGAACTGATTGGCCCAGCCTGGGTCATGTGATCCTCAGTAGTCCAATCAGCAGGCCAGAGCAGCAAGATCATATGGTATAAAATGGCCGACAGTGTAGCCATGTAGATAGAAGGAACAGGTAGGCAGCCAACCCAACAAGTGTCTGAAAGAGTAATTTAAAGGGCTTAGTAATAAGCACTCAAAATGTGGTAGATAAGGGAATTCCCTGATGGTCCAGTGGTTAAGACTTGGCACTTTCACTGTTGGGCCTGGGTTCAATCCCTGGTCAGGGGATTAAGACCCCACAAGCCACATGGCATGGCCAAAAAAAACCCCGTGGTAGATAATATTATATAATAGAATATAAATTATACATTATATATTATATAATATAGCTATAATGATATAAAAATAATAGCTATTGTTCTTATAATGGAATTTGATCCTTGAAGGATCTGCTGTCCTGTTGGCCAAAATTCCCATCATTCCCTGCTCATTCTCTCATCTGTTAATCACTACTACAAGGGAGATCCCAACTTCTGAAACACAAGAACTGCGTGAACAGAAGTTGCCCCTCACACCAGTCCCTGGTGTGGGGAGGAAGACATTTGAGGGGCTAGATGGCTGCAGCCCCCAAGCTGCCCTCCACACCGGAAGTCAGTCAGGGTGGGGTCTCCTGGGCTGGAGTTGACATTGGGTTCTGCTCTGGACCTGCCAAGGGTCAAGCTCTAAGGGTTTCCTGCCAGACTGCAGGGAGGGGTTTGGGTGTAGACCTGGTGGACTGGAAATTTACCCATTTGCCCCCAGATTAATGATTAACGGGTCCCTGCCCTCACCCTGTCTGGGAGGGGAGCCCAGGGCCAGGCTGGGCCAGGAGGAGCCTGATAGCATCTGTCTCTGCTCGGGGGTTTCCGAGATTTGCTCCACACTGGGATGGCTGCACCTGATGGATTTGGGATCTACGGGCACTTTCTGGGGGCAGCTGGGACCCGGCCAGGACCCACACCCTCCCTGGGGTAGACGGGGAAGGTGTGGCATCCAGCCAGATGTCCTGGCTGGGGCAGGTGGCTCCAAACAGGAGAGCCGTGCCCTTGGCTCTGTGGGATGTGCGCCTCTCTGACCACTCAGGGCTTGGCCACAGGGCTTGCCTTGGCTGGGGGCACTTGAGCACTATGGGGTGCAGCCCAGACCTGGCCACACAAGTGACAAGTGCCACATCCAAGCAGGAGCTTTAAGAGCCATCGCCTGGTTCCACCTTTGATCTTTTACCAGGGCCACAAGGCCAGCAAATTCCAGAAAGGGGCTGCTTCCTCCAGCCTGGGTGCCGGAATGATGTATATTTCACCCACTCCGAGGGCCACCAGGGTACAGGACAGCATATATTTTGAACTGGGAGAAACATCTCATGGACCGCTTCTGGGCGGAGGGAGGGTGAGCTCTTTTGTAGTCCAGAGGGCATGGGTTCGATCCCTGGTGGGGGAAATAAGATGCCGCGGGGCACAGCCAAAAAAAAAAAAAAAAATCACTGTAGTCCCCACCTTGCTGCTGATCTGCTGTAAGACTCAAGTTAGTCACTGCCTCTTTGTAAAACCTTTGTTTCCTTATCTGTACAAAAGGAAGACTCTGCCCAGGTTAGAGAGTAAAACATCTTGCAAGAGGAAAGAGTTTTGAGAAACTCCAGCTAGCAGGAAAGTGAAACAGCAAGTCCCAGGCCCTGTGGTTAGTAACTTTTCAAATAGTCCTCCCAGCAGCCCCAGGAGGTAGTGAGGATCACACTTTCCATTTTCCAGAGGAGAAAATCAGTGCTTCTAGGTTACACAGCTAGGAAGTGACAGGCGACTGGAACGTGGCAGCCTGACGTCAGCATCCATGGACTTCAGATATAGTAGAGCAAAGAGTCTGGAGCTGGTGGCCTGATGCAAATATACTTCCTTCATGTTCATCCACCTGTCAGTCCATCCACCCATCCTTCCTTCCTCCCTTCACCTCTCCATCCTTCCACCTTTCCATCCATTCAGGTATTCCCTAAGTATCTTTTTGTAACAGGCATGGAGTGGCCCGATGATTAAAGATCTCTCTGGGGATTATGGAAACAAGTTAGGTTGGCATGGCATTACTTGGGCAGCAACCTAATGTAAGGGAGAGAGGGATACCAGGGAAATTGGCTGGACGTCTTCTTACTGTCGACATCCCTCTGCCTGCCCCTCTTAGGAACATACAAGCCAGGCAGCAGCCTATGCTATGTGCAATGTTTCCCAAACTGCCCTGATCCCCAAAGCTGCCCAGGGAATGTGGAAAATATACAGATTCCCAGGTCCTGTTCCAGACCAAGAGAAGCAGAATTGCTAAGTATAGATCCTGGGCATCTGTATTTTTAATAAGCACCTCAGATGATTTTTCTGATTGGGCAAGTTTGGGGAATAAGGTGGGTAAGAAGAGCAGAGACTTTGGCTTCTGGAAAACTTGGGTTTGAGATCTTGTACTAGCTCTTGTTATAAGCACCTTGGTTTCCTGCTCTGTAAAATGGGGGCATGACCCCATGGGGCCAGCCTCCCTCCTAGAAGGGCGAATAGTACAGCCCCCAGGGAGGCCCTTCCACTCACCTGCCCCACATTCTTAGGGATTGTCATTCTTCCTCCTCCCCTGTCACGACCCAAGGGTCACTGGTCTCCCTTCTTTCTTGCCCCCTCTAGCCTAACCGGGCGGGAGGTCCTGACACCCTTCCCGGGTCTGGGCACCGCCCCTGCCCCAGCACAGGGTGGGGCCCACCTGAAGCAGTGTGACCTCCTGAAGCTGTCCCGCCGGCAGAAGCAGCTCTGCCGGCGGGAGCCAGGCCTGGCTGAGACCCTGCAGGATGCCGCACACCTCAGCCTGCTCGAGTGCCAGTTTCAGTTCCGGCATGAGCGCTGGAACTGCAGCCTAGAGGGGAGGACGGGACTGCTCAAGAGAGGTAGGGAGGCGGGCTGGGAGGAGGAGGGCTGGGGGGAGGACTAAGAGGAGGAAGGCTG